AAGTTACACAGGTACAGTTGAGTGTGTCTTATTATTCCATCATTAATGTTCAGTGCACAGTGTTTAGATTTAGAGACAATTGTTGTAGTAACTGGACCTCCTGATCCAAAGTGCCTGGGATTTGAGAGGCAAGCTGCCTACACAGACACACAAATTAGGCCACGTAACTGGGACAAGGTTGGAAGATTTTCATTTGAATGGACTAAAAAAAAAATCAATGTGTAATCAGTTTTAATTTACCTTTGAGATAACGTTAAATGTCCTCTTCCTTTTCTGTTTTATTTTAAAGGAGAATTTTATACAAAAGAGAATTTCCTTATTTTGCTGTTCTTATGATCTCAATTTGAAGAACAGTAATATATTCACTTTCTAGGGAAAACAAAACAGGAAACCAATGGGGCCAAGGAGAGACAAAACCAAACAAAACACTGGCCTAGAAATCAGGATACCTGGTGTCCAGTTTCAGCTGTGTGACCTTGAATGAATCATTTAACCTTATCAGGCCTCTGAGCTCTTACCATAGAACGAGAGAGTGGCACTGGCTGCTCCCTGAAGGACTCCTCCACTTCTAAGTCTCACTTTGCTGTTACTTCTAATTCCTATTAAACAAAAGCATGAAAGCAAATGTGCCTGCCTGCTTACCTTCTCCCTTCCTGCTTCCCTTTCTCCACCCTTCCGTTTGCATTAGTCAAATTAGGTTAGCTGCTACTAGAAAAAAAAACCCACTGGGTCAACAAAATGCAAGCTTACTTCCTATTTGTAGAAACTCCAACATGGCTATTTCTGATCTCTCCTGGGCATCCGTCTGTCCTACATGCAGTGACTCAGGGTTCCAGGAAACTTTCAAATGGGACTTCCTCATCCTCCAGGGCCTCAGCATCCTCTGCAAGGCCGTTTCCAGGGAATGAAGAGAGTCTGGAGGATCTTGCAGAGATTTTGGGGGCCAGAGCACTTTCCCTCGGCTATAACATGTCGCATGGTTCCACCAAGATATAGTGGGCTAGGAAATGTGGTCTCCTGTGATTGCCCAGGAGAAAACGGAAAATGCTTGACGAATGCATAGCAGCAGCTCATCCACAGTTCATTCATTCATCTAATATTTATGAAGTGGCCACTTTTTCTTAAGGATCTTAACTCTAGTGGGGGAGATTATATATGCATGGATGTATGTGTATGCAAAATGTGTATACATGTAATATATATGTGGAATATCTATTAGTAATAGTAATTCTGAGGTTAAAAATAATATTGCAAGGCAATAATAGGTAAATATTTTGAAAACTGAAACATCGAGTATCATTTTCAAGGTATATATACAGCCATGTATTTTTTTTTCATTTCATCCCTACAGTAACCTTATGAAGTAGGTGCTGTTATTAGCCCCACTTTGCGTATAAGGAAACTGAGGCACAGAGAGGTGCAAGACCTTGCTCAGCATCCAGCAGCCGGAGAGCAGTGGAGCCAAGTGATGACTCCAGCAGTTTGATTCCAGAGCCCGCATTCTGTCCTGCTACTGTGAGTGGAGGGGTAGTTCCTCTAACTGAATTATTCTTGGTGCCCATTCATCATTAATTTGCTGAACACTAGGAGACACCTAAATGGGAATGTGTGAGAGCACTTTGCAAAATGGAAAACATTATAACACAACTGTTCTCGAACCACCCTTGCCCCAAAACCTTGATGGTTTCCTGTTGTCTACAGCTTAAGATTTAAATTCCTTGGACCTCTGTTGTCTTGCTTTGGTTTCCTTCGCTCTTCTTCATGCCCTGCCACACTAGATCCATCCCCTTCCCCGAATGTGCCCAGGCACCCCTGGCCTTTTGTCCATCCAGTCTCAGCACATCATTGTCCCGCATCCTAGGCTGGCTCTAGGTTAAATTAGCTTTGTGCCCTCCAGAGTACTGGCACCCAGCAAGTGCTAAATAACTGCTTGGCAAATTATGGCCCTGGCTGGTGTAGCTCAGTGGATTGAACAAGGGCCTGCAAACCAAAGGGTCGCCAGTTTGACTCCCAGTCAGGGCACATGCCTGGATTGTGGGCCAGGTCCCTTGTAGGGGCTGTGTGAGAGGCAACCACACATTGATGTTTCTCTCCCTCTCTTTCTTACTGCCTTCTTCTCTAAAAATAAATAAATATAAATAAAATCTTAAGAAAATAGAATAAATGCTTGACAGATTAAATCAAAGATAGAAAAGTGAGGGGAAGGGAGAGCCATAGATAATACAAAACTTCAGGTGATCCAGGACTTCTCCTGTGTAAATACAATATAAACGGTCATGTTTGCTTATTCAGAACAATTGTCTAACTAGACGATGTATTATAGACTTACACACTTGAGACCTGTATTATTTTATTAACCAATGCCACCCTAGTAAATTCAATTAAAAACTTAAGAATAAATAAATGCATTCATGTTATAAAAGAGTATTGAGAAATTAGAATATGTTGCAAATACAGAATCTTTCTGTTTTTATTCATTTAAAGAAACATGTGGGCAGATCTTTTTCTAAGAAAGTACAACTGCTCATAGGAGGCCTTTTATAACCCTCTGAGTCTATCGTACTAATGTTGGGTTCAAGAGACGCGTGCAAGATCCCCCACGACTACTATGATTCAGCCTCCCGTTGGCATAAGAGGGGAGAACCGGAGCAAAGGTGGTGTCTGACAACATCGAAGATGAAACTTTGTGCTCACAAAAAGCTTCATGACTTAATTTCCAAGTTTAACATCTTTCATAATGATGATGATGGTAATGACGATGATGATGATGATGATGATGATGATGGCGTTTTCCTAGGTCTAACCAGCTGAAAGACTACTTTTCAAATGTTAAAATTCATCCACTCATCTACAGTCGCCAAAAGGCAGTAGTTTCTGAAGTGTGGAAGTCTGAACCCGGATCCTAACTCTCTTTTTATATGTTTAAAATCAGTAGTGTTTTCTCTTTTGCAGCCTAATTTTCATGCTTGTTTTGGTGAAGTCAGCGTTCCTGCCGTGGGAACAGGTCTCACGCGGTGCCTTGTATTCAATTACTTTAAAAAGGGGGCCCATCTTGCTCCAGAGTTTTATGATCTCATAATGAAGGCACTTAAATGTCAAACCACAAAGCAGGTTATCTTGATGAAAACTATTTTTATTGGATAAGCAAATATGTAATGCAAAATTAAAACGTGCTCCTGTAACCAGCCAATTACCAGCCACAACAGCAAGTGTAGGACATTGTGCAGGTCTGGAGATGCGGGAGAGGTGCAGGGACGAGGTTAGGGTGAGGGTGAGGGTTGTCTATCTTCAAACTGGAAGTGCGGGCTCATAATTTTTTTAACCAATAGTAATGGCTTTGAAATTGCACATGAGTGCGGGATGGGCATTAGGAAGACTCTCCCGGGGACTGTGAGTCTACTGAGTGGTCTCATTGTAAATGTAACAGATGGGGTTGCCATTAGAACAGCAATCATTTCCCTCCTCCACCCCAAATTGTTGTTTCTGTCCCAATGTCTTTTTTATAGTTATTTTACTTATTTACTTAACTGTTGACACTGTTACAGATGTCCCCCGTTTTTCCCCCTCTTTGCCCTCCCTTCCAGTCAGCCCCCCACCGTGTGTCTCAACTTCAAATGTCCTGTCTCCTTGTCAGGACATGTCCACGGACATGTCCACCGACATGTCCTGGTACTTTGTTACAAGGTATGGCTGCTATGGCCACAGGACCAAGGGGATGGGTTGGAGAGTTCCAGGAACAAAGAAGAAAACAGAAAGGACCATCCATTCCACAAATGTTTATTGTGTGCCCGTTGGGTGTCCACTGTGCTAGTTCTTGGGTCATGAGGCTGAACAACAGAGAAGATGCCCTTGCTCCTGTGGAGCTTACATTCTACTGGGGGAAACACACACACACACAACACGGCCACTCGATATGTTAGCTGAATGCTGCCGAACACACAGATGGGGCAGGGGAGATGAGGAAGAGTGAGGGTCACGTAATCTCATACAGGATGGCCAGCAAAGGTTGAACTGAGGGGGAGATGGGTGAGCTATGCTGTCATTTGGTGGGGAAATATTCCGAGCAGAAGACAAACAGCATGTGAAAAGGCATTCAGCTGGATGGTGCGGGGGGATGTGTGAGGAACCTCGAAGATATGAATGGAGCTGGAGAGGTGCGAAGGGGAAGGAAGAAAAGATAGAAGATAAGCTATGGGAATTAACATGAGGGGTGGTCAGGCACAGCTTTTATGGAAGTTGGTAATGAAGAATTTGCTCTTGTTCTGAATGAGACGTCCTCGTAGGGGTTAGCAGTGGGGGGACATGGTCTGACACTCACTTTCAAAGGCTTCCTCTGGCTGCCAGTTAGGAGAACAGTGCGATCATTCAGATGCTGGTCATTTGGACAGAGCTGTAAGGGTGAAATTGATGAAATGGTGCCTGGATTCTGGCTGTGATGATGGATTAGATGTTTAGTGTAAGAGAAAGAGGAGAGTGGCTGAAAAAAATTATATCAGAACAAAGAAGAGGAAGGAAGGAAGGCAGATATCTAGGAACACACACACATGCGCAGGGGCTAACACCATCCTTAGGACTTCTCCAGACAAGTTCTTCTCGGCAGTCAAGCCAAGAACTCCCAGATCTGATTGCCTGAGCAGGCAGCCTGTGATTCTCGGTTCCTAAATATCACTTGAACATGCATTTATGCTGGCTGCTTTTTTGGACTTTTAAATCTACTAGCCCCCAAGTGAAGTTTAGTTGTATGGCCAACCCACTGTGCATGGGTCAGGCTGGTAGCCTCAGGTAGGAAGCTGGAAGTAGGAAGAGGAAGTGGGAGTCTCATGATGATCTGGGAAAAAGGCAATCTTACCTTCTTTGGTCTCTCCATAATGATGACCCTGAGAGAGTAAGCCTCGGCTTACAGGGTGTGAATGAGACCATGGGTAGAGTAGATGTCGCCATCCCAAGCCCACATTTCATCATACAAAGTGACGTATGTCATTTGCATTTGAGTGCTTTATTATACTGGAATTGCAGTGATATTATTAACATTTGTACAAATGCACAAAATCTGTCTCTTCTTGCTAGAAAGAGATGTAAAAATCTGACCTCGTGGAACAGTCTTAATGAACTCATTGTCCATTGGTAATAACGTGTTCACTATGCGACAAAAAGCTTAACATAAAATTAAACATATTAAATGCTGCAGCAAATATTTACAGGTAGGTACCCCAAGATTTTTTTCTCCTTCCAGTAAGGAAGGTGGTTGCTTTACAAACAGACAAACAAACACAAATGCTTTGCTGTTTACAATTACAAACAACCCTCCAGTCCAGAACTTAAAGTGACAGCACCTTTTTTTTGGGACTTCATTAGTTAACACTTATTTAGTACAATGCTAGACTTTTTTTTTTTCTTTTAGTTCTATTTTTGGGACAATATTTATATTCCAATTGTCCTGGAATACTGTGTTTGAACTGAGCCATTTTTCTGGGCCTTTTTAGAAGATCCCAAACCCCATGTCCTCTCCAGGGAGAACATTTCAAAGCTTATCTTTTCTTCAAGACAAACCTCAAAGGCAGAGAACTCCTCTCTAGGAGGCAGGTGTGATTTAGCAGAACATAGAAGGAAAGAGGGTAGAAGAGGGTAGGTAGGTCTTTTTCTTTTTTTTCTTTCTTTCTTTCTTTTTTTTTTTTACTGGCTGGCTGGTAGGAAGGGTCCTTTCTCTGAACCCTCCTCCACACTGGCACTGTGATACCTTCCAGGACCTCGTGTCTACAGCATTGGTATTCTAAAAGAGCGAACTAGTCTAGTGGGCTTAGTGTGCATAAGATTTTAATGATGTATTTAAAGCTACTTTATTCAGGTTACCATTCTCTGTCCTGAGGCTGATGTGATTCTTTAAAAAAATTCTATAAAGCTCTGTAATATGAAACTCAATGTAAGAAAATCTTAAATGGCTGAAGGAGAGCTTTCTAAACCCTGGCTTCTAATGAGTTAAACTCTGTCTATTGGTCTAAACATAATAGTTGATAATTATTGATTCCCCTCTGATGATAAGCTTGGAAAGGTATCAGAGTGCCACTTAGGAATATTCATCTTTTAACAAATGAGGCCTTACCCCTCTCTTCAACTTGTGGTTAAATAGTTTTTATTTAAAAATAGACAATTTATAAGGAAAAAATATATAAACACTCTTTAAGCAATTTGGCTATAAGCATTACATCACTGAAAAACTCCACAAGAAATAGTAAAATATTTTGAATGGACATACACTTTTTTTTTATTTTCACAACATGATGAGCTAGGATTTTTTTTTTCTTTTCATATGTCTTGGTATTGGAGTTCACTTGTAAGTTTATTGCTTCAGTGTCTTCTTGTCCTTCCTCAGATTATACTTGTGAAACAGAGGCGCTGTCCCTAATTATGTTACAAGGCAACATTGCATTTTTGAGACCTAGGAATGAACCGGGTAGGACCACTGTTATTTCAGCAGCCCCAGAGAGACCAGGGCGAGGACAACAGTCCATCATGCACCACGATGCACAAAAGAATAAGTCTCCTGGCTCAATCAGGACACTTTGGTTCGGAGAGTGAGATAGAAAATTCTTAAGTGTAGCTTAGGTGCTGCCTGACAATCTGTTGCATAATAATAATTTTTTTTTTAAAACATGCTATGAAGAAAGGGATAGAGTATAAACTGGCTCTTTTCCTGGGCATTCTCGTAGCAGGCTTCATCTAGGCTGATGGGAGAAACACGTCTTCGCTAGGCTACTAAGGACCGCACGCAAATGTACCCGGTGCAAATACTTCTGTAAAGGATTTTAAAGGATGCAGCTCAGAGCTTCGAAGGAAGGGGGTATGTACAGTGGAGAGGGAAGCGGAACTGGCAAGTTTGAGGACAGGGAGGGAGGTTAGAAAGAACAAGAGGAAGGGGCCAAAAAAGCTAAAGTGCAAATTTTAAATATAAATTATTTGAAGCAGAAGAGAGGTTCTAAACTGCTACTGTTCGCATAGGCACATTTTATTCAAATTTAAATGGGTTGTTTCCTTTTCCTTCTCAGATAGACTGCATAATGGAGCTTGAATGGCTTAACGCTACTGCGTATCGTTTGAGAAGGGACACAAAGAGCGTAAAGAGCTGAATAGTGCAAAGCATTCGAGGGGACTGAGGTGGGGTGCAGAGACGCAGAGATGAAGTTGTTTTTATACGTTGACAAGAAAGCGTTCCAGTTATAGCTACTGATTCCCTTTAGCTGAACTCTGCTCCCTAAAGGAAAGGGCTTACTTTAAACACGGAAAAAGAAATAATTTTTTTTTAAAAAAAGCTGTTCAGAACACAGATTAAAAAATAACTCACCGAGCAACAAAAGTCCTTGAAATTTCTATGCAAAGAGATCTAAGCAAACATTTCCATCAAATGATAGAGAACAGCCATTTGGAACCCTGAAAAATGAAGATACGCACGACTAGAATAGTTTATTATGAACTAATACTTTAAAAACAAAGTAGATCCTACAGAAGAATACTGTTCAAATGGAATGTTTAAAAATAACATTTATTAATAAATATCTTATAAAATTCTAAATTAATAGATTCCTGTTCAAATTTTGCTTTGGTCCTTGAATTCCACTGTATACACACATACATACATATATATTTTCTTAGATGATTTTTATTAACCAGAAAGAAGCACATTCTACCCTAACTGGATGGCTAGTTTTATAGCAGTTACTGGAGTTTAACCCACCCCCGCTCCTCAGCCACAGGCTGGTTTGTTACGGCAGCTGGTTTAAGATTTCAATGACAAACTCAAGCAACACGCTAAAATGTACTTCGCTAACAGGCAACGGCCACCTGAACATTCACCCGCCACGCCTCTCCACTCGGAACTTGCACTGCGTTTGATTTCATTGACTGGATAGGCTCCAAAGAGCGTTTGCTCCACGTCAGGTCACCCTCATTCTCACAATGCACAAGCAAGGGCAGCTCAGCCCGGCGCCCACAGACCACGTTCAGACCCCAACAGGCGTACCTGGACGTGGAGGTGGGAGAGGACGAGGGGGAGGGTAGAGGGAAGACTTCCGGCCTAACGCCTGGCTTGGAAATGAGTGCATACATCCATGGCTAGGATTTTCACCATACCTGCCCCGGCCGACATTGGGAAATGTCTTAAGGAAAAAAACAATTAAGGCGTGGATGCTTCAGTTTGGGGGAGGATTCTACTGGTAAAAACACTATCGGGTAGAAATTTCCAGATAGGCTGGCAGTGACCTCAGAGGCGGATGCTAGGATAAAAATGCCCCACGAGGATGGCGGGCGGGGGGCGGGGGGCAGCAGCGCCGCAGAGCCTTCCAGGTGGGCGCTGTGAAGGTCGTCACGACGGAGTCCTGAAACTCTGCATGGTGACGCAGGAATGCAGTGGGGAGAAGAATGGGTTACGATGGTTTCCCAGATGGGCCAAAAGCGTAGGGCAAGAGCGGGGACCGATTATTCCGCGGTGTGGAAAAAGTGGGGCCTTCAGGGGAAATAACTTAATATTGATAAGCCATGTTCCTCATCTGACCACTGAGCCTTTCTGTTTGGGATTTCAAGCTCCGAGAACGAGCTGGCATCTCCCATTGACTGTATTTCCACACTGCTAATGAACATACCTAAAGGCCCCGCGCATAACAAGAAGACAGTTTATTCTAATTATACGTTGAGGCCCATTTGCTAACTGCTAACGTGTGTGTGGTTGGTTTGCCTACTTAGCATAAAGAACAGACATAATTGAGCTATATATAATGCACATCAGTCAAACTGTCAAGTTGCTGAATTAAGAAAACTCAGGCAAGTTCTTAACTGCAGAGGCTTTGGGTTGAACAACTAAATATTTCAATCAAGGGGTGGAACAGCAGGAAAGTAAACCGTAATTTTAGTGACAACCCACACTCCCTGGACATTCTGGTATTACCAGTGGATTTTTAAAAAATCCATTTCATTAAGTGCTATGCATGCAGTAAAGAAAGGAAAGTTTTTGTTTACTTAAAGCAAAAAATAAAATTCAAAAATTCAAAAACTCGAACAAACATTTCAATGAGTTCTTTTTCTTTGATAAGGGGACACGGGGATAGTCCTAGGCAGGAGTTATGAAAAATTATTTTTCACTTCAATATAGAAAGAAGAATGTTAACTTCTTTTTTCGCTAAATCTTACATGTCTCTTAGGAAGCCGGTTAGGTTAAACCATTCAGCTGCTCCTGCTGGGATTCAACACAAAGAACAAAACAAAACAAGACAACTTTGAATTCAGTATTTAAAATACTTAAAAATGATATGTTTGTCTAAAATATAATAGAAAATCCTTTTTGTTTGCATTTTTCTTTTTTCTCTTTTCTTTTTTTTTGTTTTGATTTTGAGACCATATATCCAAGTCATGAATTTCAGTGGATACTCAAAACTTTCTTTTGAAAGCACTGCATACATGAAAAGATTGTTGATAAATATTGATTTAAAAAGTAAGTTAGTAGATAAAACTGAAACTAGTTATAAAAATCATGCTTCACGACTCTCATATTCTCTTTTTTTTTCTCCAAAATAGATTCTTACACTATAGTGAGAGAAAAAAAAACAAAGCACATCCTTCCCTTTTCTGAACTCTTATAAAAGCTACACCTTTTCTAAAATACGATTCCTTTAAATCCCCTGAACACACACACACACACACACACACTCACACTCGTGCTAGGAGGTCAAGCATTCACATGGAGATGAAACACCAGCACCTGTCTAGACTGCTGAAGAGAAACGTTAGCCTGGTTATTTGTGAGTTGTGATATTAAAACACCAGCACAGTAGAATGGCTTGTTTCAAGGAGGCACGACTGTGGTTTGGAACTATCTGCTTTTTACAACGGGCAAGTCCTCGAAAGTTGTTGAAAATGTAAATCAGCATCGTTCAGGAGAGTGGAGCAGCCTGTCCACGGGGTCCTTTCTTGAGCTGCTACTGGAGGGCTGAGAGCACCTCCCCACCCCCAAACATTGGGCTTTCTTTCTCTTTGTTCCTCCAGCAGCTCATCTACTTTCCACCCACCAGAACAGCAGAGCTGTTTCCATAGGCTTAAGGAAAAAAATTAACAATAAATCGTAGGCTATTAGCAGTTGATGACTGAACAACATAACCGGTGTGGTGAATAGAGCCCTTCTGAATTATGATGTAATGCAGGGATTTTCGACATTAGGGACAGGCCATATCAAACCAGTTGTAATTGGAGCGTGTGATGTTTAGCCTCGCATCCGAATTGGCACGATCACAGTGGAGGCTTACACAGCACCCTTCCCTGGTGTGTCCACAGCTGGCATTCAACAGTGCTTCACCTATGGCTAAGCCGCCTTTTCGTTGCTCTGATTATGAAAAACATGAAGTCAGGCACATGAAACGTCTCCTGGTTACTATTTCGTAAAATGCACGGTTGAATGGACGCCAGCTGTGCGTCAAGGGCAAGGACGCAATGGCCAGGCCCACATTTCTGAGGTTTGCTTTTATTTTTTTCTTTGAATATTATTTTCTTCTTCACATGCAATGCTAAAGGGGGAATATAGAAAAGAAGGCAAAAATGAAGCGTAAACTGGGAGCCCAGGAAAGAGTGGGAACATGGAGAGGGGAGCGGGCACTTGAGAAAGTGGACCACAAGGAGCAGGAGCTGGGGAGACGCCTGGTGATTTTATTCGGATGTAAGTGGGCCTTAACATTTTTGATAGTAGGAGGAACAGAGTTGTGGAAAGGCTCTGTGTTTATCTGGGATTCCGGTGACGTCACAGCACAGACTCAACATGCGTTATGATGTCATCACACTTCTCACCCAGTGACCTTGCTTCTGCTGACCACTAAGTATGCCTTGTTTGGCTAAAAGCTGCAGTTTAACAAGACTCAGTGTCTCAGGCAAAGGGTCGGACTGATAAGCATGAAACCATGACTATATACAGAAAGAGTTCAGTTTACAAACAAGTAACTGGTACCAGAGAACTGGAGAAAAGCACCAAAGCATTTCCCAAGCTGATAGATAGTAATTGCATAACTCCCTTTTTTCTTATATAACTAAGTATAAAAGACAACATTTCCATAATAACTATAAAAATGAAAGCCAGTCTTTTGAAGAACTGAGGAGTCTTCCCGGTCTGAGTTAATTCTAAAAATGCCCTTCAAAGACAGGACGCATGGTACGCGGCAGCTCTTCTTGGAGGCAAGGTGCGACCCCTGATTTTTAGAGAATCGGGTTCAGGTCTGTTCTGTGAGTGGTGAGCTGGCTGAGGGTGGAGCTTCCTACCACCTCGCTGACCGCCGAGGACGTGGTGATGGTGTTATGCTGGATGACCTGCTGCTGAGAGCAGGCGGGGGCGGGGCTGGCGGGAGGGCTACTCTCCGGACCTAGGAGAAAACACACACACACACACACACCGCTATAGCTCTTCCTTGGGCGGAAGGGCGGACTGCTCAGAAAAATACTACTAGACATTTACTAGAAATAGAAGAGTTTTCTCACATTTTCTCTCAGGGGTTAGTTTTAAGACTTTATACTGTGGTCACAAAGCTATGCCTCCCCACTTTACAGCTACAAGCAAAGCCATGCTTTCTACATCCCCAAAAACGATTGGATGTGTTGGGGTCTTGGGATGTCAGCTTCCCCATCTTGTATTTTCAAATAGCCATCCATAGATCAAATGTGGAGAAATACTCACATGAGGTGGGAGAATCTGTGTTGCTCAATCTAAAAAATTATTTGAAAATAAATTGAGTCGTGAGTCCCCGCTCCTCCCACTAGCCTCTAAACTCAACTAACATTTAACCAACCTGTCAACATTCCAGGTGCAGCAACTGGGGTCTAAAAAGAGGGGTCCACTTTGTGTGTTTACAAACTGAGACAAGGTCTCTAGTTTTTCAGCCCCCTGAATACCACGCAGCACGGCCACGGGACTGGAGGTGGTTCGCCCAACACCAGCCCGTGGATTTCTCTGGAAGACTGCCAGCTAGCCCACTGCTAACTAGGCTCCAGAAGGCCATTTTTCTACGGGCTGCAGAACTGGACTTTGGTCGGATTTTACAATGTGAGATGCCAGAGAAAAATCTAGCCAGAAATGATCAGGAGGCGGTGGGCGTGGTGATGGATAGGGGCCAGAAAAGCAGCTTTCCCCCGGGTGGGGGAGTCTGGCTGCCGTCCAGAGTTCTGTGTGCTGTCTGCCTGGGTGCACAACCTACCCTCTACTTTTGCTCTTTCAATAAAATCCAATACAAAACCAGAGGCAAAAAAAAAAATTGAACACTAAAAGAAGCAAAAGAAGTCAATGACTTACTTAGATATCCTTGCGACTCTTTCTGCATGGCTGTTATGGGGCAGTCTTTATGCGTTAACAACAACTGTTTCAGCTGGGCCACCTCGTTTTTCAACATGGACACTTCATTCTGGAAAGAGACGAGTCAAAGCCACGTTGAGAAGACCGGTGAACACAAACCCAAGGCCCAGTGCACTTTCGGCAACTGAATGGGCAAACGTTTCTGTTAAGTCTGGATGACGTTAGGGATGTTTTGTAACAGGATTCACCTGAGAATGTGTAGCTTGCCTTCAGTTTGGCCCCTCACACTCACCCGGGGCTTCCTGAAGAGACTAGGTTGTCACTCAAGAGCTGGATCCTACTAAAAGTGCGGAACAGAGCACTGGGGCGGGAGACTCTGGGGCCAGGTTCCCTGGGTGGGAATCTCCACTCTCCACTCACTAGGCGGGTAACATGACCCAGCTGAGCTCCAGCACCATTGTTTACAAGATGGAGATAAAAGTAGCACAAGGTTCTTTGAGTTGGGAGGGTCCAAGGAGGTAATGTATGTGAAACACTCAGAACAATGCCCAGCACATACTAAGCACTCAGCAGGAGTTAGTTATGGTGATCATCATCTTTACACCGTCTGACAAGCTCCGGTCCTTGTTCACTGTGCGAAGACGAGTGTGAGTCAGTGGGAAGAATTGTGGGGCTTCAAACTGAAATGCGCTCACAGTAAACTGACTAATCTACCTTCCTGTTTCCCAAAAGCTCTAAACGGGCTGTAGCTCAAGTACGTCCCCCTGTCTGGCGCCCACTTAGCAGGAGGCATGGAAGCATACGGCGTAACTATGGGCCCTCTGCTAGGGGGATGGAGCATGGGCAGTGAAGTTTTGGGCCCTGATAGAATTCATTTCAGGGATTCATGAACCAGTTTGGTTATTTTCAGTCGAGAGACATTTCCTCCCTGAGTAGCACAACAATTCCTGCTGTGGATTATGTGTATGTGCACTTTTCCTAGTCCCTTGAATAAGTGCCTCAACTCTCCACTTAATGTAGTAATTCACAAAGACAAGTTCATGGCTTTGTAGAATAATGTACTTGGCACCGTTGTCTACAAATATAAACTTAGAATAGATGGTTGGTTCCAAGGTGCTTCCACTTGATAAAACTAAACCATAAACAGAGCCCTATCTCAAATAAGCCATTTTAGAGCTGTGGCACATAACACCCTCCTCCGGGCCTGTGCCCATGTGCGACTGCCTGCCAGGCATTGCACTTGTAGGTGACCTTAAAGAAACATGCACACAGAAAAGGGTGTTTGAACACGGCTGTCATTAACCTGTATCTACACTTGCAATATGAACTTGGCTTTTCAGGCATGTATTTATCACCTAGAAAAGTAAGTTTGGGATTCTAGAAGTTAATTAAAAATTTTTTGAAACTTTTTTTAAACAATAGCTCCCATTTCCACATTCTTTTGCAAAGTACGTTACAGGCAGTCAACTGTTGAGTAACATAAATAGCAAAGTAAGAAAAATCTCATCCCCAGAGCTTTTCTCTTTCTCTTCCAAACTTTACAAAATAAAAACCCTGTCAAAGCCAAAAGTGACCCTTGTCAATTCTGGGGTCAGTGGGACAACTTTATTTACAGGATAATTTATTTTAGCCTTAAACATGAATTCTTTCCTCTCTGATTTTCCCAGCTCCTCCTCTGCTTAAAATAGCATGTGTTAAGAAAGTTGCTTTTGGACCATTACATAGAAGGCAACTCCAGGTTAAAAGCAAAACAAACAAACAAAAACAAAACTGAAAAGGAGAAAAAGAAAGCTAGATGTGTGACCATAGAGTTTGGCTGCAAAGTAAATGTCATGTTATTTGCATCTGGTTGACAGAAGTGACACCTTTCTGAAATCCCAACCACTGGACACCTGCCCCGAAGAAGACACTCTCAGCGGCAGACCAGGCAGACAACAGTGCTTAGAAAACGGAGTCAAGTTCCAGTGTTTAGTGAGTCCAGCCACAGTTTTGTTCTGTGACCTAGGAAACAACAAATAAGGAATGCATTTCAAACAAAACAACAGGATTCTCTTGCTTTCTTATGCTTCGGGAAGAAAATAAAAATCCCCCTTTGGGGCCATCTTGCAAAGGTTGGTTTTGGTCTCCACTTCTTCCCCCATGATGTCCTGGGCAGCCACCTTTACTGGGCAGTGTTCGACTTCCAGGCACGGAGTGTGCTCTGCCCCTTCCTTAAGAAAACACTTTGAATTCCGTTCTCTGGGTTTCTGCAGTTGCAGGGAGCTAACTGCCCACAATACTCGGCACACCCAGAACCATTTTACAATAAAGCTTTTGCTTCCACGAGAGGCCCCAGTAAAACAGGACCAATCACCACTATGAATGGTATACGTGGTGTCCTGGCCCATAACCAAAGTCCATACAGAACAGATGACTTGAGTGGCATTTTTGTCTATGAAGAGCAAAGCACTTTATCAATAAATCAATATGTTGTAAGTATAGGAACTGAGGCCCTAGGAGTTGTGAGGGTCTGTAAAAACATGGGAACCTGGGAAGTACCGTGACAACTGGCTGTCCTTTAAAGGTATGTGTGCTTATGGACATATTTCTTAATGTAGTGTGTTAGTAATTGTGTTATTTAGCTATGCTATGGTTGGAAAATGAATGCCAATTACTATTATCAGTAGAGAAAAACACCCAGCCTCTTGTTTAGCTCATATACACATAACTATGATGCAGGTGAGGACTAAACAAAAGTCTAATGGCCAACAAAGTCACTGGGCGAAGTTTCTAGCAGAAAAGGAACTCTGACCTAACAGTGGAGAACAACAGGGTTTGACTTCTCTAGCTGCCTCACCAACCAAGCACGAAGCAAGATGGTTGGACTAGTTCTCTAGTTTGCTCCAGCAAGATAGTTTTTTATTCTCCCAGTGTTTCCGTGTCACCTTCTATTGGCAACGCTCATTACCTAATAATCTAATGAAGGACTTGATCGTGATTTTTTTTTCATTTGTTAACTACCTTCAGCATTTTCAAACATACTTCTATTTTAAGCCTCATGTTTTCTAAGGGAGCCAGTTCTAGCACGCCCTGTGCGTCCAAATCACATCAGGGCAGATTCCAAAGCAACATTTATAGTTTCATTTCGAGCACAATTTGGTGTCCATGTGTGCGCCCATATTGTCGAGAGTGCGTGGAGCCTTCATCAGACACCACAGCGGAGCCTCCGGGTTCAGGCGTGTCGGGAACCACTGCCCCGGAGACTGCGGAGGGGGCCGTGAGCAGCGCACGTGCGTCATCGCCCTGAAGATTCCGCGCTGATGGACTGACTGATGTAGGAAGTGCACAGACACCAGACTGTATTTTAGATGAAAACCCTTTCCAAGGTAACCTAAGTAGAATCACCTTGAATTCATTTGGGAAGAGAACAACCAGATAGCAAGTGCTGCAAAACGCATGAAAGACATCAAATGCGGCCTGCAGCTCTGCGAGGGAAATAAAAACCAGGACTTCTGGGGGCATTTTCTTACTCTGAATTAGCTTGCTTTATGAATTGAGGCGAATCACCAATACTTTGACTCCCCTGTGTGGGTTGTAATAGCTTGAGGTCTTCATATAAAGGTGCTTGGAGAAAACAAAGCAGTAATAATCGGTATTGATTCTCCTGCTGAAAGCGGCTCTTCGTTTTTTCTAAGCTGGCCTGGGTTTGCTACTAACTGAGGCAGTTAGCCATTTACATGGAGACTGTAAGAGGGCAGATGAGGTGCGGCTGGGTTCATCTGCTCCTAAACCCCTCAGGTTGCCTTGGGTTGAAGCAGCGCCCCATATAGAGACATTCAATACTACAATAACATACTTTAAATAAGCACTCCGAAAAGTCCATCCAAGCTGCACTTGCAGTTTTTGGTTTGGGGATGTCATTTTGTTAATATGATAAACCCAGAATGTTTTTTGATGCAAACCATCGTCTGTGCCAAAAAAAAAGGGCGGGGGGGGGGGTGGCTGCAAGATAGCCCCCTCCCCCGCTTCTTTCTGTAGATCAGCGAGAGGGCAGGTTTGGCTCATTCCAAAACAAAGGACTTTGAATTTGTCAGGCAACAGTTCCCATCTGGCCCAGGCTCTTGCCAAGTCCCAAACCTGGGCTCATGTGTCTAAAATTTCAGCAGCGACTTAGGCCATGTGTCTTTGCACTAAAAAAGAAAAGCAATTATTTCTGTGGGTGACCAGATGATTTCCATATCATCTACCGAACACAAACAATCCAGTCCCTGAGCCCCACGTCAGCAGCTGATGAATGCAGAGCCGACCTGAGCCACTTTGTCAGAGAAAAGAATGTGGGTTTCTTTCGTTTAAGAACTTTCTAGAATGAAAGGTCACAGGGCAAGAGGGTTAGGTCAAGAGAAGACTTGCTTGGGGCCTAATCCTGCTGTGTGCTGGCTGTGTGACTTTTGAGAAGACTCCTCAAGTCCCCTGAGCCTGAATGTCTCCTTATATAAAATGTCAGATTGGGTGGTTTCTCCTCCGCCCCCCCAGTTCCTATACCACCACTGGCCTGGTGGGCAGAGATGTGTTATGAGACAAGGAAATGAAGTCTGGGAGCTTGACTTTGTTTTCTTAGGTCTGATTTTTCCAATCCGAAACCCTGCAACCTAACTCAAAGGTTCTATGCTGGAAAACAACTCAAAAGTGGCAGCTGGCCATCCAGACCTTGAATATTCCATTTGGCTGCAGTTTGTTTGCTTAGCACCTTCCATTTCTGTTTACTTAGAATTTGGCTCGGCGAGCCAGCGTCAAGAGAGACACCTTTTTCTTCTGACAAAGTTCCAGCGAGAGGGAAAGGGTCACGCAGAGGTAGCGCAGTCCCTGCCCTGTCCAGCATCGCGGGGTGGGATGCGGAGCGCTCACCGGCACGGAGAACACGCGGTGGTGGGGCTTCTGTCCCTCTGAAGCAAAGCACAGGTTGGAAACCACCAACAACTGAGTCTTTTCGGAGACGGTCCCTTTCTCGGGCGCTGCTGTAGCAACCAGAAATATCGGTGCCTGTTGAATGGCTCTGACACGGCTTTTGTTTTCTTCAGGGGCTAGAATTCTAGTTATTTCTTTTTGCTAGTCATTCTGACCCTAAAGAAATGTAAACATTCATAGATCAGACCCTGACCGGGGTGGCTCAGTTGGTTGGGCATCGTCCTGTAAAGTTGCCAGTTCAGCTCCCAGTCAGGGCTCAGGCTTGGGTTGCGGGTTTGGTTCCCGGTTTGGTTAGGGAGCATACAAGAAGCAACAACAACAAAAAATTCATAGATTAGGGTCTCTTATCTGTTTTGTAAAATCAATAATATACCGCATTTTTGGACTATAAGAAGCACTCCCCCCCAAATTTGGGAGGAAAATGCAGTGGCAACCCTGCTCTTGCCTCCTGTGACCCCACTTCACCTCGGCACGCCCCCCCCACAGCAAGCCAGGTAAGCTACATTCGGACTATAAGATGCACCCCCTTTCCCTCCCAAATGGGGGGAGGGCATCTTAAGTCCGAAAAAACACGGTGCATGCATATGGCCAAGGCATGGACACATCTGTCCTCAAGGTCATCCGGCAGCTTCACTTTCCTGGCTCGCTGCTGTGGCCCCTCCATGTTTTCATGCCCTAGGGCCACAGGCAATACGGCGGAGTCGTTCTGCAAGGACTCATTGTAGTTGAAACTGATTGAAACAGTTGTTGGCATCGGAGGCATGCCAGCTGGCTCCTGCATCTAAGGAAGTGGTTTTCAACCAGGGGTGATTTTGCCCCCACAGAGGACGTTTGGCAATATCTAGAGACTTTTGGTCGTCGCCAATGCGGGGTGGAGTAGAGGGTGCTACTGCTATCTCGTGGGTAGAGACCAAGGATGCTGCTAAATATATGCAGCGGACAGGGCACGACAAGAATGGAGCCCTAAAGTCCACAGTGCTGAGGCTGAGAAAACCGGCACGTTTTCGTGGTCCTCCTGCAGACCTCAGGACGGGCAGCCAATCCGAGGGATTCCCAGCCATCCCTCAGACCGGAACCACGGCTCTAACGTTTGCCAGGTCCACATGCACTGGGCCTTTTATTGACTTAATGTGTTTGCTCAAATTAACTCATTCTGTAATGACGTAGCCTCATCCTGACCAATAGGATTTGTGAAATTGAAGGTTTGAGGTTCTAATGATATTTTTCAATACACGTAAAAATAAAAATGAGTACTATGCATATTAAAAGTGTTTATCCACGTTCTACCTAAACGCTCCTCAAACGCCACTGTGCCTGCCAGGTTCTAGAATTGCAGACTTGCAGGTCGGAGTGACTCTCGCGGTGTGTAAGGCCAGCCATCCCACTGCGGCTTGACTCCCTTCAAACACACTCTTGCCAAGTGGTCAGGCCGCCAGTTCTCGGGGCACTCCAGAGATGGGGAGCTCGTTCACTTATCCAACAGACTCTGAGTGCATAAGGTCACCGTGCCAACTAGACACCACACTAGAAGTCGGGGGGTGGGTAGTAAGAAGAGAAGGTAATGAGACACAGCCCGCACCCTCAAGCAGCACATAAGTTAATGGGAGGAGTTATTATCTTAGTTCCCTCGTACCTACTATATATGTTTCTCAGTTTCTTTCTCGTGTCTATTCCAAAAAGAATAATAAATTTAGGGGGAAAAGCGAACATCCATAAATTCTGATGTTCAGCCCATGAATCACCTAAACTTTCTTCGTGTATTTTCAATTTGCACACTGGATGTCCCAAGGTCATTTCCGTTAATGGAATTGAACATGCAAAGGCTTTGGGGGTTTGGCACCCTCACCAGCCCTTTCTAGGAACGACAGAGAATCAGGCAAAGGTGACCTGCGAACAACTGAGAGACGGCCAGTCCCTGTTTGGGGCGGTCTTTCTCCCCTTCGGTCCTCTTTAGCCACTCCCTCTGCTCCTGGGAGCGCTGGGCCATAATGCATGGCTCTGTCCCTGGACTGCTAGTCGTGTGTGGGTTTGGTGCTTTCTCTCCCTGCTGGCGAGCAGTGCACTCCTTCTTGTGCCAGAACACACGCCCTGAACGGCATCGTTTCCCCAGCATGAAGTCAGCTGCAGAAGCCCCGCGCCCTGGAGTTTTCTCCCCTGCTCTCAAAACACTCCTCAAAGGGGCCTTTTATAAAATGTCCGCAATGGAGCTGCCCATGTTAAAGCACAAACCATGCAAGATTCAAATCTCAAGTTTGAAAATGAGATAGAAGCATGTCTTTTCCTAGCAGGGGTGTCCAACCTTTTGGCACCTCTGGGCCACACTGGAAGAAGAAGCGTTGTCTTGGGCCACACATGACATACACACACACTAAGGAAAACTGCTGAGCAAAAAAGGTTCTAAGTAAATTTACAATCTTATGTTGGGCTGCATTCACAGCCAGCCTGGGCCACCTGCGGCCCGTGGGCTGTGGGGTGGACGCCCCTGTGTAGAGAGCAAAGCAATACACATGAACCTTCCTTTCCTTCATTAAGCAAAAATATGCATAATCTCATGCAGGCCGAAGCAACGCCCTCACACAGTGAATTTAAAGGGCTGCCTTTCGGTTGAAAACTTCCTTCGAGCCAGGCACTGGGCAAACTGCTCCGCATCATTCGTTCATTTGGTCCTCCCAACAACTCTGTGGGGTTATCATTCCCACTTTACAGATGAGGAAACTGAGAGCTGGAGAGGGGAAACACGGCAAGTAATTTCTGACCCAGAGAGGGACCCTGCGAAGCCTGCACTCCCAGCTCTGTGACTTACTCCGGCAGGTTCTCCCTCCTCAGAGCTTGGTAGGCAGGTGGATCTAAAACTGAGTGGCTTATTTTGTTTTATAGGGTGTCCCAGGGTGCACAGCACCGGAGGAGCGAGCTTGGCTAGCGTGCGGTATTGCTCCTTAGGTCAACAGGCGCCCTTGGGGACAGGAAATGCCGGCTGTACACAGGGCCTCTGAGTCCCGAGGAAAGAGACAGGGGCTGCACCTGAAGCTGCATGTTCGTCTGGGTGAGTTCTTCAGCTTTCTTTTCCAGTGACATCACCCAGACCTTCCTCTTCTGCCTGCAGCGGGTGGCGGCTGCCCGGTTCCGTTCCAGAAATTTCCGCCTCCTCTCATCTGGATCCTCATCCACCACCCTCCGCCGGCGCCCCCCGGTGGGTTGGGGCGGCTGTATTGTCTGGGTGGGCTGCATCTGTTGCGTCGCTGGTGAGACCTGCAGGCAACGAGAAGGAAGATGACAGGGTGGGGAAGGAGCGTGTCGGGCAAGCGAGGAGACCCAAGCCGTTGTTGAAATGCAATGCCCCGCAGAGCCGATTGCCTTAGTGAGCATCTCGAACCTGTTCTCTAAAAATGAGCTAAATGGTGACATCACGTGAGCTCATGGGGCAAAAAAAAGCGTCCTCTGAGCTACCTTCCATGATATGTTGGCAAGATATAGGAGTGACTTGTGGAAAGAAAGTCAAATCGATTTTTCTCTATGGGCACTGGCTGAATCCTAGCACAGGAAACATGTTTTTCCTCCTTCAGATGTTAAAAAAGTTCCCTTTAAGGTGCACATTAAAGTTTAAAGTGCCCGCGTGTGGCTGCACGTGGGCACCGAGGGGTCAGCGGCACTGTCACCGTGTTGGTGAGTCCTCTGCCGTCTGGGCAGGTCGCGAGCGCCTGCCCTTCCGGTGGTGCTAAAACTAGAGCACACCTCCGGGGTATCGTCCCCAACGTGACCCCCATGAAAGAACCCCGTGAAGCCCCGAACGCAGTTGCAACCCTGTTTTCACCGTTTCAGGGCTTGCCGACAGTGGAGGCAGTGAGAGGAGGCCTTTCTGGGTGACTGGGGAGCGGGGCCCATAAAAGGAGGCATTTGGGGCCGCAAGGCGCACGGAGTCACACTCCTCGTGGTGAGCCGGGAGGGCCGCCGCACTTTCTCGTTGACTCACAATGTAAGGAGGTCCCGGGAGGGGCAAACCACGTCATCATTAGGACGTTTTCCTAGCCTGCGGACTCCTGGTAAGCTCTGCCTGGGGCTCGGCCACGTCTAAGGTTTGAGAGGCCCCCCCGCATGTACAGCTTCGTCTCCCTCCGTGCCGCAGGTCCGCCACGCCTCGTGAGGTGTCTCAAGTTAACACAGTCTAAGAAAGGCATTTTCACTGTGATCTTGTTCAAAGTTTAAGAAGACCAACCTGGGCTTTTTTTTTTTTAACTATAGGGTAAAAAAGCAAGCGTTTGTGCAGCTAATTATAATAGCAATGAACTAATTGCATATACAATTGGCTGCTTACTTAAAATAGAGAGCAATTGGCTAACTGATAATTAGTTAATGAATGGTTTTTATATTCAAAGAACTGTTACACATGCCTGTGAATTAACTGGTACAGCAACACAACCAAAACTTGATGTTATCCTTCTCCTTAAAAAATGAGTACACATGTAAACCTACTTGCCTATCTTTGACCTTGTAGTTTTCTTTCTCCCTTCTAAATACAAGTCTCACCACGGCATTAGACTAAAAGGGTGTTTTGAATAGCATTTTATTGCTACACTCTTGCTAAACTTCTACTGCCTTCCCTGGGTTTAGAATGAATCATGGCCAACGTGTAATGAAAACTGTGCTGACATTTGCGTTACTAAATGCTCCTAGGACTCGATGAGCTTAGTGTATTATTAACCCATTTTGCAGGTGGAAAGACTGAGGCGTAGGGAGCTTCATCTGACCACACAGGAGGAAGGAAGAATGGAAATGAACGAAAGTTTCCTCACTCCAAAGCCGGCACTGTTATTTACCACACAGAACACCTCTAAGCACTTTGGCAGAAATAAGCTTATCCGGCAAACAAGCTTATCTGCTGAAGAGCTTATGTACTCAGAGTTGCTCGCGGACGGCGGTCCAGGTTCGGTGTGTGTTAGGGAAGGGGGCTCAAGAGGTCGAGAAGCTATGCCTGTGTGAGGTCCGGAGGCAGACGATGAATAAGTGTTACTTGGCGGTCCCAAGCTTCGGACGCCATCCTGACCCAGCCGGTTGGGAGCTGGCAGCGTGGAATGGGTGGAGGGGGACTACCAAAGGTCACCCTGCTTGGAGATCCAAAGCGTCTAGGGCTGGCCCTGCTCCTAAGCATGCCCTTCCTCCGCTTCCTACCACTCACTCCGGTGCGCGGACCCGCCTCTCTTCTCGGGCAGGGTGACATAACGTCTGCCTGGCCCCCGACCCTCTTTCTGTTGAGTCTAAATGCCGGCTTTCTTCCTAGCCGTTCCTGGTGACTCCCCGCCGCTGGGATTTGGCCTTTCTCTTGCACTGATGATCTGCAGAGCTTGGCTCTCTGTCTGCTCCCTCCAACGCGTTTCACATTGGGTGGGATGAGTCACCTCTCCTCACCATTTACACAGCACCTTGTGCCCTGACATCCATTACCCAGCCTCTTTGTCTGCCGGGAATTGTTACTCTTTCGACTTGAAACATTCAATGTTACTGAGAATATTGCCCTTTGGGCGTGACTTCCATTTTGCAGGAGACAAAGTTGAGTGTCTACGATGTTACGGGGCACCGCGGCTAGAACCACAGTTGGCATCAACCTATTTTTCTCATTCTTTATTCCCATCTTTCTCCACACGCTTAAATCCTGCCTACTCCTCACATTGATAACACTTTTTTAGGGTTAACCATGGAACACACTGCAAAAATAGATTTTGGAAGTCTTGAAGTTTACCTTTATCTCTAAAGCCTAGACCCGAAATTTACGGCATTATTACATGCAGAAACTATGATCAGGTAGGATCTTATGGGTAGCTGTTAAGTCCTAGGAAATGCACAGAGCTCCCGAGAGCATCAGATAGAACACCTGGGCTGGTCAGACAAGAATGCTGCCCATGACCGCCCCCCAACCCCGCCCTTTAGAGCTCGCACTGCGAACAGGAAGGGGGAAGGGGCCACGAAAAGGGTCTACCTGTGCTTGGTTGCCGGAGTGCAGGGGTGGGTGTGGCGAGGTCTGGTGGTGTGCTGGGTGTGCATGGAGGTGGGAGTGGGAGTGATGATGCGGGTGGTTCTGCTGGTGATGGGGCTGAGCATGGGGGTGGTGTGCTGGGTGCTGGTGCTGGTGCGGGTAGGGGTGGTGGGCCGGCAGTGTCTGGTGCTGATGCGGGTGCGCGTGCATGTGGTGGTGCGGCGTCTGGTCCTGCCGGGAGCCCATCATGTCCATCATGTGTCCCATGGTGTTCATGTTCCCGTTGGGCATGGCGGCGGGGTGGTGAGTCAATGCAGCCTTCAGCCTCTGAAACGACAGAACGAGAGGGGACAGCCGAGGTCAGTCACGTACACAGCGGGGACTCCGAATCAAAGTGACATACAGTTCCAATCTGTAATACTTTATATGGTGCTAGTGTTCACGTTGTTTTACTGGTAGCGGTGTGACTTTTATATTAACTTCATATTCTCATAAATACTGTGCTAGGTAGGAAGGTCAATGCCAGCCACAAACATTCATTAATTGAATAGTCACCGCACATGAGCAGGGGCCCTATCAAGATTTAGATCTTCTACTAAAACGTATTTCCTATTGTTCAATTATTTACCATCTCCCACTGACAGCCAGATACGAGTAAAACCAAATAAAACCATTCAATACTATAATGCCACCGAGCAAAGGGCCCCATCATCTGATCTGGCTGTGTGCTGTGTACAAATCACAAGAACAAGAGGTTTTTGCCTTTAAAAAGATTCTCTGACACAAAGAGTACGTAACTATACACGTTTTGAAATATAGGAACTACTAATGTCATTCAAGGGCTTCAGAGCAGATCATAATGTGCAGGCTTTGGAGGCCACGTGCAGGCCTTTTCCATTTGCTGCCGTGATGTAACTCAGAGACCTTCCTGACGATCTCATCGTTCTCACACAATCACCTTCTTCTCACTTGGGGAAGGGAGTGGGAAAGGAGAGGAACACAGCTTCTCTGATGGCCACTTCGCACACAAAAGCATTCTCTATGAGCGAGCAAACAGACATGCACACAAGTGCGGAGGGGTCCGCACACTTATTCTGGAAAGAGCCAGAAAGTTCACAGTCCTTCACGGCACACCCTCAGGTCTCCTGCGGACGGCATGGAAGTGAACGGTCACGCTGGGTGCCAATACCACTCTACTTAGGAACAGGAAATTTTAATTTCAGAGAATATTCACGTGACCTGAAATGCTATTCTACTCCTGATTTTCAAGGCTCATTTTCAAGTGTAGAAACCACTGTTAGATCCTGGGCTGTGCAAATGCGCTCAGGGGCCATGGCCCGTCCTTTCCTGGCCCCGGCTTTAAAAACTCAGTTGGGAATCAGCTGCATCACAGTTTCTTCGAGACTATGTGTGTTTCTTCTTGTACACACACATGTATCACCATATCCCCAGGGGCCCCGTGGCCTAAGTACTGCACAACACAGTTCCTCCTCGGACGGGTGTCTTCTGCAGAGAGGAGAGTCTAGTTGGCAAGCTCACATTGGCTTCATGAAGTATTTACGGGGGAGCTCAAGCTCTCTCCTGATTTGTGTTCTTATCTGATTGTGTAATCACTGTGAAAAGGAAGAGTTTGTATTTAAATGACCAAAGCAACAGTCAAGCTCCAGCCCTGCACAAAATTAATGACTCTCCGCTGGTCAGAGTAAACTACTGATAAACACCGACTCCAGTCATCAAAATCTTCAGTTAAACAAAAAAGAGCCTCCACTTGTGGAAAAGTAAAAAGGCAGCGGAGGCTCGGCTGGGCGGGCCTATATGTTAGTGACAGGTGATTGCCGAAAGCATTTCCGACGTCCTAATTCGGTAACCGCTACGTCCACCTGGCTCCTCCGTGTAAGCCATAGCCACCGCCCTCCATCGTGACAGTCCTGAAGAAGCTGTTTCCGGAACTGCTGGGAAAGACTGGATGCTGGATGCAGTGTTTACTGCAAATGAACTATGTCAATGAATACTCCTCGCCTCCAGTTTTTAGAAATGATTTCATTGTTTTTATAAAAATGCTCATTATAAAGCATTTAAGCAATGCCTAAAAGTACAATGAAGTCAGTGACCGGGGAACCAAACACCTTGTTTACATTGGGTGGGAGAACAGCATTCCCGAGAACTCGCTGTATGCCCGCGCAGAGATGGAAGAGTGAGGAGAACCGTTTCACAACAGTGGGATCCTAATAGCACAGGATTTTAAAAGCTTTTGTTGAATATAACATGAGCAAGAGAAGGAAAAATCAAATGAATTGCTGGATTTCAGATTTATATATATTTCTTTTTTACCCCAAGAAAAGTTTCTAAATGACAGCTCCAAACTTAACAGTGAATAAAATTATGAAAAAGGATTATAATGAAATCATTATGTTTTTTAAAATGGACATATTGGATAATATTAATGGATTTTCTAAGCTATTCCTTGTAATTTTATTATTGGAAAGATGTACAGCTCTATAGTAAAAAAAAATCAACCATTACAAAAACAGGAGGTAAGAAAGTAGATCAGCAGCTCCCTGTTCCCTCCCTGAGCCCCAGCCCCACCGCCCCAGGGAACCACGGTGTGTCTCAGGCATTCCCTCAGCATCTATGAGCATGTGCTTGTGTGAGCCCCTCTTATGACAGGGAGTTTTGTGTCTTGTGTTTTTTCATCTTAACAGTATACCTTTGGCACCTACCTAGAGCAGCAAAGACTGAAACAATGGCTGGCGTTAACTGAGCACTCACTACGTGCCACTCCTCATTGTGTCTCTTACAAGTATTAACTCACCTAATCCTCAGAACAGCCCTGCAAGGCGGAAAGGGAGGCTCACCCCCGTGCCAAGTTCACACCACTGGCGAGGAGAGGAGGTGCTGGAAGGCATGCCACATGTACTTTGCCAAGGACAGGAATAAACTGCGTTATGCCACCTCGCCATCATCAAAAGGAAAGGCAGGAATAAGAGAGAGGGCTAGAAAAGTTGGCAAGACCAGAGGCCTCTGCTGCACGATCTTGCAGTAGGCTGTACGTGTGTTGCTCTGCATGCAACTGGGGAGCCAGATACTGTCTGGCTGAAACTTGGCAGAGGGAAGGGTAGATAGTAAGAATTCTCAGGAAGCTCAAATACAGCAAAGAATAATGTAGGGCTTAGCACGATCATCTCCCTTGTTATATTTGTGAAGAGTGAGTGAATAGAATATATTACCCCTCCAAACACAGATCTGATAAGGTCCCTTCTCCTTGCCCCCACTTTTTAACCCTTGGACAAATGACCCTTCTACAGCTTTCTAATGCTAATGGTGAAGGTCAAAGCCCATGATTCGGCCTCTGCCTAGGCCCTGTAGTGTGTGGCTCTGCCTTCCCATCATCTCTTGCTCTTCCCACGCAGGCCTCACAGGCCTTTGCATTTGATAGTCTTCTTACCTGGAATGCCCTTTCCATTTCCCCAGACATTCTAGGGCCCTCAGCCTCAGACTCCTCCTCAGTAAAACTCTCCCTGGTCTCACGGTGTAAATCCGTCCCTGTTGTTATGTGGTCCCAGTAGAGCCATATTCCTCCTTTTAAAATCCAAGTTGTTGTCATGATTTTTAGAGCGATTCTTCAAGTAATACCCATCAACCATCCCAGACTGTAAGCTTCATGAGGGCAGGGGCCAGGGTGGAGTTTGCTCAGTGTTAAATTCACAGCTTTAGCACGGAGCCTGATGCATTAGGCTCTGAATTCGTATTTTTGGCATGAATGAATGAATGAATGAATGGAATTTTCTGAGGCTCGGGATGAGCATGTGCATTTTCATCTTTAATTACTGCAGGTGGTATTCCTACAGGAGGATGGTTTTATCAGTCAACTGAGGCCAGCACAGTCAACTGCAGAAGTCACATGGGCGGCTGGGCTGTACAAGTCCACTGTCAGAGAGCTCCCGCTCTCCACCCTGCCTGCCCTCGAAAACAGGGTAACAAGAAAAAACACCAACACACAAAAGGAATGCACATTAACTTCATCTTGGTATATTTTCCCTGAAAAAGTGGCATGGAAAATCGAAAAGATGTTTAGGAGCGGGTCACTCTGTCCCCCCTTCAATGCCGCAAACAACTTTTCCACCTTTAATTAGGAGCAAATGGAGCCTGACAAATAACTACTACGAACCAGATCTTCATCTCTCAAATAATTAGCTCGTACTGCGAGGGGAAATGACTTGACTGCTTCAAGTCTATTCTTGCATGTTTCACACCAAGACAATAATCTTAGTCAGGTTTCTAACATTCCATTTAACTAGTCACTCAACAAATATTTGCTGGGCATTGAGCTAGGCGTATCATTATTTCTGTGCCCACTACGCGGAGGAAAAGGGAGACACATAAAACGAAAGCTCTTTCAAAGCAAGGGGGAAAAATGCGTAAGTGTTCAAAGGAAGATACTCAAGCACCCCTCCAGACTGTGGGTTCAGTCTGCCCTCCAAACACCAGCTTACACGAGCTTTGAAGGAAAGCAGTGAAGATAAATGAGAACCGAGCCGCTCTGCATATGCTACATTTAATATTCGCCGTGTCCTTTCCAAACACTCTGGGGCACTTCTGACAGTCCTAAAGGGCCCGCTGCTCCCCTCCATCCTGGTGCCAACAAGAGGCACGGCACTGTAAATCATTAAAATATACCAAACCTAGATATTTGTACCCTACTCTCTCAGAGATGATAAATGAATGGAAAATGAGTTCAAGCTGTATTTTGCAGAATGATTTTTCTTTTTGAAGCTGAACTGTGTCTTGTTTTAAATAACCATTCTACCCAATGCCAAGAAAAGGCAAGGGAGAGAGAGGGAAATTAATGAGCAAATAAACATATATTTTTCAGCTATAAAACCCAGGGCTATTACTGAGGTGTGACTGCAAGAGAGGAAAAAAAAATGATTCTGTTTACTTTCTAGCGTCCTCTACCATATCCATTTATTTGAGAGAGCAAATCAGGAGAGACAGCGAGAAGCCGGACACAGCTGGTTCCAGTCAATAAGGGTCATTTTCATTCTCTGTGTATTTTACCAGCTCCTTGTTCGCTGTTCCTGATGCGGGGGTGGGCCTGCTGCCTGGGATCTGAGTCCTGGTAAGAACCCAGCCATCTACTTCATCCCACACTGTGCCTGGCTGCTGCCCTGAGAGCTCGGCCCCAGCCCCAGCCCCAGCCCCAGCCCCAGCCCCAGCCCCCTTTTAACCTCCGGGTTAGCTCTGTTTGCATCGGGGCACGCTGTGGGAAGCCCAGGTACAAGCTCACGTCATTACCGCCACAGGGGCACATACGTGTGGGCCTGCGT